GCGCCCGGCCTCCCCTCCAACCCCCCCGCAGGGAGCCTAGGCGCCCCGTTCCCATACATGGGCAGCGCGGGGCCCGGCCGGGAAGCGGCGTCACGGGCTGGGGGGGCAGGGAGGGAGGGGGGCTCCAGGGCTGGGACCCTCCCCCCCAACCCCCCAGCCACCGGGAAGTGGGGACGCGGCGCCGGACAGGGCTATGGACGACCTGGGTAAGAGCCCGCAGGACTCAGGCGTCCGAGAGACCCCCCCCCACCCCAAGAGCCTGGCTGTCTGGGGTCTTAACCCCCTGCTCCCACCCCGGAAAGCCCAGGCGTTCAGGCTCCCAAACCCGCTGTTCCAGCCCAGAGAGCCCAGGCGTCTGGGCTTCCAATGCGCCTGCTCCCACTCCCCTAGAGAGCCCAGGCTCCCAAACCCCCTAGTCCACCCCTCCCCCCCAGCCCAGGGAGCTCAGGCGTCCGGGCTCCCAGCCCTGGAGAGCCTGGGCTCCCAATTCCCCGCAGCCCTCCAACCCGAGAGAGCCCAGGTGTCCAGGCTCCTAAGGGGGGTGGGGGGGGGCGGTCTCCCATCCAGGCGCTGACTTGGTCTAGCCCTGCTTAGCTGCATGGGGGCCCCCGTTCTGGGCTCCCCGAGAGAGTTGGGGGGAGGAACCCAGGCGTCCCGCTCCTAACCCCCCTCGCCCTCATCCGCGCCCGGAGAACCCCGGCGTCCCGGCTCCCTTCCCCCGTCTGGGCTCCGTGGGGCCCCCGCCCGCGGCTGCCTCCTGCCCTGCTCCCTCCTTCCCCGGTCCTTGTGGCCTCCACTCCCCGCCGGCCCTGCCGCGCTCCCCTCTTCCCTCCCCGGCCTCCTTCCCTTCTCCCCTCACTTCTCTTCCCTTTCCCTTGCTTCCCTGGCCCGTTCCCTCCTTCCTCCCTCCCTTCCCTGCTTCACTCCCCCTTCCTGGGCTCCCTGGCCGCCTTTCCTGCTCCCACCAGTCATCTCTCTCTCTCTCTTTCTTTCTTTCTTTCTTTCTTCATGTCACTCATTCCCTCCTTCCCCCCACTTCCCCGCTCCTCACTCTCCTCCTTTCCTCCCTTCTTCCTCCCTCTCTTCCTACCCTATCTTCCCTCCCCCAGCCCCAGCGTCCCAAGCTGGGACTTGCCACAAGGGGGGGCAGGGAGCCCCGGATGCCTGGGTTCTCTGGACTTGGGGGGGTGGGAGCAGGGGGTTTAGCAGCCCAGATGCCTGGGTTCCCTGGGGTGGGCAGTGGGCGCAGGAGGGAATGGGGGCCCAGGTGCCTGGTTTCCCTGGGGTGTGAGCAGGGGGGCCGGGAGCCCAGCTGCCTGGATTCCCTGCAGGGTGGGTGTAGGGGAGGCCAGGAGCCCAGATGGCTGGGTTCTCTGGGCTGGGGGTGGGTGGGAATAGGGGGTTTAGGAGCCTGGACACTTGGGTTCTCTGGTTTGGGGGGTGGGAGCAGCGGGGGCTGGAGACCCAGATACCTGGGTTCTCTGGGCTGTTGGGGTGGGTGTAGCAGAGCCTGGGAGCCCAGACACCTGGGTTCCCTGGGGTGCGGGGTAGGAGCAGAGAGGCTGGGAGCCTGGATACCTGGGTTCTCTGGGGTGCTGGGGGGTTAGGATCCCGGACACCTGGGTCCCACACCCCCGCCCTCCCCGCCTCGCAGACGCCCTCCTGGCCGACCTGGAGACAACGACGTCCCACATCGCTAAGCACCCAGTGCTGCTCACGGCCCCAGGGGATGGGGGGGCAGAGCCTCGTCCCCCTCCCCCGCCCTACAGCCCCAAGCACCAGGTGAGACCCCCCGGCCGTGATCCCCCCGCCCCTGGTGCTGGCCATGGCAATGTGACCCTAGAGCCTAGCATCTCTCTGCCCACCAGGTGACAGCCTTGGACCTGGCCCCGCCCCCAGGGGGTGACAAAGAGCACCTCTACAGGTGGGTCAAGGGCAGGGCTAGCCCCGGGGGGTGGAGCTTAGGGGCAGGGGTGCTGTAGGGTGGGGTTAGCAGGGGATGTGGCCAGCAGAGCTGGGGGTGGCAGGCCCTTGAGCTGGGGGGTGGAGGCGTGGCCTTTCACAGAGGGCGCGGGGCTTAGAGGGCTGGGGACAGGGCCAAGGGCTGGGAGATGTGGCCAAAGAGCTAGAGGCAGGACCTTTCACAATGGGGGTGGGGTCAGGAGGTCCTTCTCTCAGTTTGGGTGTGGCCAAGGCCCTGGGGGCGGGCCAAGGCTCACCATGCTCATGACATGCCCCGGGTCCCCACAGCACGGTGGTGAAGCCGAGGCCACCGGCCCCATCCCCACCCCCTGCAGCGGTCCTGGCCCCGGGCCTGGGAGAGCTGGACCGGCTCCTGCAGCAGCTCAGTGCCACCCATGGCTCCATCGCAGGTAATTGGCTGGGGGGCGGGGCCCGGGGGGGGGGGCCTGAGGG